CTTATTTACCACGGAAAAAAAAAAAAAAAAAAAAAAGTCCATTCCCTTTGTTCTAGGGTCCAACCCCTGACTTTGGTATCAAATGAGGAACTGGAATAGACCAAGGAAAATGACTATTTGGATGGCATTTTATTGTAATAAGCACAATCACAGCTCGTGGATTCCTGAGATTTCTTTTTGAGTCTACAATGTTAAATCAAAGACTGCTTTATCAGCTTTAATATTATGTATCCACCATATTTTTAAATCTTAACAAAATCGGCCCGACACTGTGGCTCACGCCTGTAATCCCAGCACTTTGGGAGGTTGAGGCGGGTGGATAATGAGGTCAGGAGTTGGAGACCAGCCTGACCAACATGGTGAAACCCATCTCTACTAAAAATACAAAAATTAACCGGGCAGGGTGGTGCGCACCTGTAATCCCAGCTACTTGGGAGGCTGAGGCAGAAGAATCACTTGAACCCGGGAGGCGGAGGTTGCAGTGGGCCGAGATTGTGCCACTGCACTCGAGCCTGGGTGACAGAGCAGGACTCCTCAAAAAAAAAAAGAAAAAAAAGAAAGAAACTAGTGAATACTGTGAAAGAAGGTATAGCTCATGTTCTATGAAACAAAAAGGTATTTATCAGCAGTATGAAAAGATTTTTAAAAAAGAAGTAAAAAGGTAGATGTTACAGGAGTATCCATTCATAATCACAGCAGGCAGGAAGGCATTCATCATAAATGAGAAAAATAAAATCCATTTATTGAGGACAAAGTTGGAGGTGCCAGGGAGGACACAAGGAAGAATGATATAATGTCAAGGTTCTTAGAATGTTGTTGTTAAACAAGAAAGGTTAAAAGCAATATGCAATTCTAAATAACATTTCAAGGCAATAATGAAGATATTACGGAGTCATGACACAGGTGCTTGAGGGGCAAATTGGGGGGTAGTTTTTTTTTTCTTTCCCCAACAGTGATCATTTATCAACTGATTTCCATTTGCACAGCTAATCATGACTATGTAATATCTTTATTATTGCCTTGAAATGTGAGGACACACACACATACACACAAGAAATAATGCCACATGCCTTGCAGAAAGAAGATAGGCGGGCCTAGTCTTTCCAAGCTAAATACTTCTCTTCTAGTCCTTGGTGACTTTGAAATGAAATCAGAGGCCTCAGGACAAAGGACTGCTTTTTTTTTTTCCCCACTCCCCTCTCCCCAGAGGACTACTTCTTAAATATATTTCTTATTTTCCCAGAAGCAATTATTTTTCTGTTGCTCACCTTTCAATATGAAGGAGGATCAGGTTGTGGAAGAACCAGGATTCCAAGATGAAGAGGTATGACTAGAAGGTTTAAAGATATGTAGACATTCAGTCATTCCACAAAAATCAAGTTCCTCCTCTATTAGTTACTGTTTTTAGAAACTGAAAGTAGAAATAACACATAGTTATATATTGCAAATATGTAACAACTTCTTTGGCAGGGACGCTAAGATTAGCTACTCAGCAACTGGTATGAAAGTATTTTAATAACTTAACAGCTGCTATGGCCATACTGGTACCTATACACAGTGATACCAAATAGCAACCTTGTCCTAGAGCAGGGTGTTTAGGATCTGGAAGGGAAGAAGGTTGAGAAAACATTTAAAATAGGTCAAATGTTGTTCCAGTGTTTTGGGTAAAGGTTTCAAAATTTTAGGGAGGACATGAGAAAGGTAACTGACTTCCAAGCCCTTTCAATATTGGTGCTTCTTCTAAGTATGTGTTTGAAAAACAGTATTGATCCTTCCTCAATCTGTCTAGAGAAGTGGAATTTGAGGCATTTTCAAGTGACTCATAGTATTGAATCACCTCTTTAATAGATGTGAAATAGCTGGATATGAAGAATCAAAACTTCATTTTTTCTGTTTCATCTTCTTTAGGAATCTTTGTTTCAAGATATTGACCTGTTACAAAAACATGGAATTGTAAGTAGTTTTTCAATGCTGTGTTAAGTTGTCTGATTCAGGATTTCTCAGCATCAACCTTACGGACATTTGGGCCTGGATAATGCTTTTTTGCAAGGAGCTGTCCTGTGCATTGCAGGGCCTCTACTCACTCACTACAGTAGCACCCCTCCAGCTGTGACAACCAAAATATCTCCAGACATTGTCAAGTGTACCCAGAGGACAAAATTAAGTTCTATATGTCAGGTGACTGGAATAAATGATGTTGGCAGAAATCCAGACTTTGAATAACAAACTGGGTGGACTTTAACAGCAATCAGTTGATAGTAAAACTGTGCTGACATTATCTGTTGTAGCCCTCACATTTAATCTCTTTTAGTGGTTTTAGAAAATAGAAGCAAGAGAAAATCCTGGTCCTTTGGTGATGTAGTTATTTGCATTCTCCATAGGCAGAGGAAAAAAATCTTTAAAAATTTAAAAGAACATGTTGATAATGAAGTTCTGTAGAAGGAAGGAGCTGAACTGAGGGGGTGAATGTGTGATAAATTTGTTAGCTTTTCTACCAACAGACTCTTCTTTTGAGTTCCTTGTTACATTGCCATGGTCTCACTAACATTTTTGGGAAATCAGGGCACAGTCAGAACATTTGGCAGCCTGCTGAGTATGTTCTACTCAGATATTTCCAGAACATTTGGCTACATGGTGGGTGGATTCCACCTGGCTGCTTGTATAAAATTGGCATCATGGTGGAAGGAGATGGACACAGAAACACATGACATAGTATGGGAGCCTTTCAAGCTGGCATCATCAGTCTACTGTGCCCATTCTTTAATTTACAGAACATGGCTGACATTAAGAAACTGAAATCAGTAGGAATCTGTACCGTCAAAGGGATACAGATGACAACAAGAAGAGCACTATGCAATGTCAAAGGACTCTCAGAAGCCAAAGTGGACAAGATTAAAGAGGCAGCGAACAAACTAATTGTAAGCAAAATCCATTCTTTGCTGTTTTAGCTTAGAAGGGCCTTGTGAATCTTTATAGGCTTTCTCATTATGAAAACTAGAAACTATTGTGGGAACTGCGTTCCCGTAGATCACAATATATTATACTCCCCATGTTAACTTTTTATCACTTCAGTTTCAAAGCAACAGCAATTAATTTCTGAAAGATGAAGGTAGGAATTAAGAGACCTAGAACACTAATGAAGGTAATTATTTTTGCCAAAACTTTTCTTTTTGTCTCCCTTTATATTACTTTTTCTGGCTGTCTCTGCCTTTCCTTCTTTTCATTTTTATTTATTTATTTATTTATTTATTTTTTTGAGACGGAGTTTCGCTCTTGTTTCCCAGGCTGGAGTGCAATGGCACGATCTCGGCTCACCGCAACCTCCGTCTCCTGGGTTCAGGCAATTCTCCTGCCTCAGCCTCCTGAGTAGCTGGGATTACAGGCACGTGCCACCATGCCTGGCTAATTTTTTATATTTTTTTTAATAGAGACGGGGTTTCACCATGTTGACCAGGATGGTCTCAATCTCTTGACCTCGTGATCCACCCGCCTCGGCCTCCCAAAGTTCTGGGATTACAGGCTTGAGCCACTGCGTCCGGCTTCATTTTTATTTTTTACCTTCCTCTTCCTTAATTTTGTCTTGTCTCCTCAAATATCATACCTATGGCTGTGGGGAAGCACTCAGTACCAAAGAATTTGCTCTCTCCTGGTATAGGAGATTGATATATAGCCAATTGATAAGAAAGCACTGGATTAGAAAAAGACCAACAGTGGTTGAATCTACATACGTGCAGTTGAGATAGATAGGACCAAGAATGTGCTCACTGAAGCAGCTGAGCTAAACTAACCCATACTGATACAGGGCAAGTGAGCCCCCCAAATTGGGGCTTAACCTGGGAGGGTTCTTAGCTTTGTCCAAGAAAGAATTCAAAGGTGAGCCAGTGGTATTGGACAACAGCTTTCATTGAAGCAGCCTAGTACAGCAGCCAGAGAGGTACTGCTCCTTACAGAGCAGGGCTACCCCATAGGCAGTATGCCCAAAAGTCGCAGCTCAGAGGCAATTTTGCCATTATAGTTATACCCACTTTTAATTACATGCAAATTAAGGGGCAGTTTATGCAGAAATTTCTAGGAAAAGAGTGGTAATTTCTGGATCATTGTGTCATTGCCATGGAAAGCAGCAGTAACTTCTAGGTGTTGCCATAGCAATGGTAAACTGACATGGCACACTAGTGGGCATGCCTTATGGAAAGCTGCTTCTGCCCTGGACCCTGTTTTAGCTAGTTCTCAATTTGGTCTGGTGTCTGAGCCCCACTTCTGGAATCAAATCCCACCTCCTACCTTACTACTTTCTAGCAGGGCCCATGCAACTGCCAGGCTACCAGACAAAAGCATATGTACCTTTGACCCAAGCTTTTATGTAGAGCTTTTGGGAACCACTAGAGGTACGACCTCTGGAAATAGAAAAACAAAGAAAGGTAGTCACTAAGTCTTCCTCTTCATTTAATAGCTGGCCTCTCCATTTCTCTATCAGTATATAAGGGTCTCATTCTCAGCAAGTCTGAGAAGCTCTCTTCACCGACAGCCATTTGGTTTCCTTCTCCAGAAGTGGTCATGGCATGAGAGTGATGCAAGTGGCAGTGTGACCCTGAACCTGGAGAGGACCCAACTGAACTGAATTATTCTGAACCCAGCTCAGTTGCTCTAGCTTCTGAGTACACTCAAGTGGTGTGCCCACAAGTCAATTCCACAGCTGCCAAGGTGTTTAAGAAAGCCCTTGAGCAGCACCCAGGGTTTGGGAAACTGCTCTAAGACATTAGATTTACTTTCTTTGGAAATTAATTCTCATTACCAAAGAACGCCTCTCCTTCTCAAGAACCCACTACTGCACCTAGAATCTTCTCCTTTCTTAGCTTAAACTGTTTCTTTTTTATTTTTATTTTTTAAGAGAAGGGTATCAGGCTGAGTACAATAGCTCACACCTGTAATACCAGCACTTTGGGAGGCTGAGGAAGGCAGATCATGAGGTCAGGAGTTCAAGACCAGCCTGGCCAACATAGTGAAACCCCATCTCTACTAAAAATACAAAAATTAGTCAGGCATGGTTGCGGACACCTGTAGTCCCATCTACTCAGGAGGCTGAGGCAGGAGAATCGCTTGAACCTGGGAGGCGGAAGTTGCAGTGAGCTGATATCACGCCACTGCACTCCAGCCTGGGCAACACACCAAAACTCTGTCTCAAAAAGAAAAAAAAAAAGAAGAGTATCTCACTATGTTGCCCAGTCTGGGTTTAAACTCCTAGGTTCAAGTGATCCTCCCACCTCTGCTTCTGAAGTACATCGGACTACAGGAATGTGCCACTGTGCCCAGATGTATTTATTCATTTACTTTGAGACAAGGTCTCACTCTGTCACCCAAGCTGGAGTACAGTGGCTCAATCACAGTTCACTGTGGGCTTGACCTCCTAGGCTCAAGTGATCCTCCCACCTCATCCTCCAGAATAGCTGGGACTACAGGAACATGGTACCATGTCCAGCTAATTTTTAAAAAATTTTTTGCCGGGCGCGGTGGCTCAAGCCTGTAATCCTAGCACTTTGGGAGGCCGAGGCGGGTGGATCACGAGGTCAGGAGATCGAGACCATTCTGGTCAATATGGTGAAACCCCGTCTCTACTAAAACTACAAAAAATTAGCTGGACATGGTGGCGCGTGCCTGTAGTCCCAGCTACTCAGGAGGCTGAGGCAGGAGAATTGCCTGAACCCAGGAGGCGGAGGTTGCGGTGAGCCGAGATCGCGCCATTGCACAC